CCGCGGCCGACGGTGGCGCCCGCATGGACCCCGCCGCGCCGGACCCCGACGGCGGAGGCCTCCCGGCGCGCGGATCCGACGCCGCCGACGTCGCCGGCAACACATGGGACCTCGCCCCCTTCTCGCCGCCGCCCGCCGCGCTCCGCGGCGGCGAGCTCTACATCTACCGCAACGCCTACAACCTCGTCCCCCGCTCCATCGGCGAGTGCCGCGGGGGGCTCAGGGCGCTCAAGTTCTTCGGCAACGACGTCGAGGTGCTGCCCCCGGAGGCCGGGGACCTGGACGGGCTACAGAGCCTCCAGCTCAAGGTCTCCGCGCCCAGGGTCTCCGGGGCCGTGCTCCGCCGGATGCGGGCGCTCAGGGAGCTCGAGCTCTCCTTGGTGCCGCCCAGGCCCTCGGCCTGCTCCATACTCGTCGAGATCGCCAGCCTCAAGTGCCTCACCAAGCTCACCATCTGCCACTTCTCCATCAGGTATGCTGCACGACACCACTACTTCAATTGACAGCTGCCTGCCTGCTTGCCTACTGCTAATTTTGCTACAGTGGTTAATTTACTGTTCTCGTGTTTAATCAGCCAAATTGTATGTTCCATCTGTGATTTGCAGCGTAAGCTTGCTTTTTTGTGTGTTTTCTAGTGCCATATTATGTTTATTTCAGTAGCACGACCACCCTAGGAGAAATGGATGTGTATAAGAAACCTTTAGCAGACTAGCATCTAATTATAAATCTATGCTGGTTTGGTGCAACTTTTCCATGCCCACTGTCCAATAGCTTCTGGCAACCATGATGGCTTTGCCATGTGTTAAATCAGGTTGAATTGTTTGCTGTGGCTACTCTTAAGTTTTATAACCTGCACATTAGCTGCTACCATTATGCCTGCAATATTTGCTATGTCTCTGCAGTAGTTTATAGAGGTAATTGGTGTTTGTAGGAGCATTCAGTTTACCCACCTTACTTTAACTAGCTGTTCTGAATCATGTCCCTAGCTTGGCAATGCAGGGGCATTTGTCAACTTTGTTGCGCAGTTTGATTATAAATGGTTGTTGTAGCCAAGTTACTTTGTCTCAATATTGGAAATGTACTGATCTGATGGTTATTGCAGATGTTTAAAAGTTCAAATGCTTGGATGATGATTAAATGATTTTGTGGTTAAATTTTGTAGCAAAATTCTCAACTGGTAGCATATCGGTTGGGTGCTGAGTAGGGATAAATTGGCGAATCGTCCTATTAACTGAATTTATCTGTAGGTTTACTAGGGCCAAAATCTATATATCCTAGCCTACATAGCAACATGTTGTAGTAGAAGCAACCGTAGATTGCTACAAATGCCAAATGCACCACATCAGCACATACTAGATGTCTAGATACTACATAGGAGGGTAGCAGGGCGCATCAGCAGCAGCAGAAGTACATCACAGAGGAGAGAACTGAGTTTACTTGCTGCCTGGGGACACCATGGACAGGAGGAGCAGACGATGAAACAGCTCGGGAGGGAATGCTGGCTGCTCGGGGAGGGGACAGCGCCGGCGACTGCTTGGGGAGGATACGAAGCCGGTTGCTGCTCAGGGAGGGGACGGAGCCAACAGCCCGTCATGGGCTGCTCAGGGAGGGGACCAGGGATTGGCCGGCGCCGGCCCCTGCTCGGGTAGGGGGCGGAGCCGGCGGAAGCTGCTCAGGGATGGGACGGCTGCAGCAGCTGCTCCTCCACGAGTGGGAGAAGGGAGGGGGCTGTCTAACCTAATGCCCGCACAGCTGTGAAAGAAGGGAGGGAACGGGCCATTTTTGGGCCAAAAATTCCCTAGCAGTTAATCGGCCCAGACCGATAAATTGCCCCAACCAGTTAATGGCGTGAATAGGGCCTTTTTGTATCTGGAGATGTACGAGTAGCGATGAACTAACCGAGATGCCGATTAACTGGCTGATATTTGGAACAATGAGAAAAATGGCAATACTGATGTGGTATGTGGTATGCAGAAGTTGGATATTCTTGATCTAGGCTATTAGAAATAATTAATTGAATTTTATGTCGACTTTGGACAGTTGAACCAAATATAGGGAACTTGTATGGTGTTCCTGATGATGATTTCTATTTTATGCTATATTGACTTGTTTTTTTCTCTTGTTCCCTGGAAAAAATGGTGGTTTCACATTCTTTTTTAAATATCTTTAGGTTCCTCCCCCCTGAGATTGGCTCCCTCAGGAAGCTCCAAGAACTTGATCTGTCTTTCAACAAGCTGAAGAACTTGCCTAATTGGATAACCGAGTTGCGGGCCCTGAAATTCCTCAAAGTGACTAATAATAAGTTGGTAGATTTACCATCAGGGATCTCTTCTTTGAGATGTCTTGAAAGCCTTGACTTATCGAACAATAGATTGACATCCCTTGGATCAGTTGAACTAGTCTCTATGCTTACACTGCAGTATCTTAATCTTCAGGTATGTTCTCATCAGAAGTATTGCTTTCCACCTGTTCCTAATTATTGCTATGTCTTGATCATGTTGACATAATTTACATTATCTTCAACAGTGTTGGTTCTGATCTTTGATGTGTTGTTTGTATTTGTTATGTGTGATTTTGGTGCTTGTTACATGGCATTCATTCACTTCTGGAACTAAACATTCAACATTTGTCCTGACCTGATTAACAATTATACTTGGAGAGAGATTAGTGTGTCAGTTTTGAGAAAAATGATTATAATGGAATCAACATGCGATTTTTCTAAATGTAATGAAAATTAGGGGAAGGAGGGTGTTGGCAAGCAGAACAATACTTGCATGGGGTGTGTTTGCCAGAAAGAGAAGTTGTGGAGGTGTTAATGTTAGCCATTTATTTTATTACTATCTTTTTTCACGAGATACTATATGGACTTACTCATCAATTCTATTGATGATTGTATTGTGGATGTTTTCTTATGTCTTCTATTTATGCTTAGAAATTCGAATATCAGATCCTGATAGTTTTCTTTTTCTATCTTCAAGTTTAATAGGATTTCCCATTCTTTTATGATACCCTCTTGGGTATGCTGTGACATGAGGGAAAATGGTGAAATTCCTTTGAAGAGTGACAGGCTACAACGTCTAGGTATCGCAAGCATAAAAAGTTCAGCAGAACCTAGACCTGCAAGTCATGCTTGCAATGGCGTGCTCTCATGCTCACCCACAGATATTTCCCCAAATTTAAAAGCTCATTCCGCACAGAAAATGAAGAAGGGCTGGAAGCGACGGGATTGCCTGCAACAGCAGGCTCGCCAGGAGCGTTTGGAGTCCAGCAGGAGCAGGCTTTGTGAAAATGACATTGATGAAATGGCTGTGAACATGACCGAAGATGATACGGAAAACAGGCCAGTGATGAAAGACATTGTTGAAGAAAGTTCAGCACAGGATTTGAAAGAAACAAGTTCTACATCTGAAGACCTATCTTGCATAATCGATTATGACTCAGATGGGCTTATAAAAGATAGTGGCATGATGCTTCAGGACCAATATGACGATGGAAAAACTGGAATAAATATGAGAAGTTGTCATGACAACAATTCTGGTATCAGCACCGATGCAGCTTGTCTGGGCAGTATTGAAAATGAACTTGAGGATACCGCTTCATCAACCCGCAATGCAGTTGAAGTTGCTGAAGAGAACACTTCAGAGGCATCTAAGCTTACACTGAAATCTAAAAGGCATCCTGATATGGACAATAATCCCAAACCCAGCAAATGCCCGAGACCAATTGATGAATCCTCGAAGTTATCCTATAAGTACAGTGTGGAATCATTTTGCAGCATAGATGACCATTTACCGGATGGATTTTATGATGCGGGACGAGATATGCCATTCATGCCATTAGAGGAGTACGAACGGAGTCTCGGACTGTATGCGCGTGAAGTTATTCTTTTGGACAGGTTAGTGCACATTCCTATCCATTGTTTGGTAATTTGCATTTTTATATATGCTGTATGCTCTTTCTGATTGGTCTATT